CGGGGCTTAGGATGACTGGACCTCACCCCCCCCCCAATTGCGATCCGGACTGGTAGAAAGATGTACATGGTGGAAGAGATAGACAAGTGCAAGTCGGAGCACACACATACACATTTGACAAACACGCACGTGCGTATCTAAAATGAGGAGGCCCAGGTGCATAAGCGAGCTAAACTAGACTGGTGTGTGGCAATATGTCCATCCACATCTTTTCATGTTTTGGTCATTATTGCATGCGGCTAATGGCCAACTGTGCAGTGCCTATGGGTTCACGAAAACAACACAAAAAAACAATCGGAATGTTCGCACACACACACACACATACTTAACAACAACACAACGTAAACCTGAGGTTATAAAAACATCGATTATTGGATTTTTGTTCAACACGTATGTGTAAACTATTCACCAGGCGGAACGATAATAATAATAATAAAATAAAAAAAATAATGCCGTGGTGCCATGTGCACGATAATAGAATACAAAAACCGGTAGTTTTGTAAGTTTATTGTCTGGGTATAAGACTGCATTCTTCGTAATCCGTGACGAAAGAACCGAACCACGAGTGCTGGTCGACCGAAATGGGGCCGAATTCGAATACAGGCAATATGGTCTGATAATAGATGGTTGGATTTGGAGAATTAGTAGCACACTAGGACAAAGCACAATCCCGACTAAACTAGTAGAATTCGAATGCGAATTTCGATTGGGGAAAAAACAACAAACGTAGAATGAATTATTTTGCCACAAGCGCCTGTGTTTATCAGAATAAAGTGAGAAGTAAAACTCAGTGAATTTGGCGGGAGAAAACACAGAACACTTTGGCCGAATAGGTATGATGACGAGTATAGATGACCATCAGGCTTTCCGCCAGAAGACCTAAACTGTAGTGGGAGCGGGCCGTTCAACGCTCAAACAACATGCATGAAGTAATCAAGAGTTTTTCTCCCGTTCATAAAATGAGATAAACAGGCAAATCAGGTTTTAACAAATAGGACAAAAGTGATTCCACGGAGAGCTTGGTAATGAGGCAGTGGTGGAGAAAGTAGACATAAATGTACACACACACACACACACACCATAGGATCCACAAGCTTGACGACCAGAATAACTCAGCATAGAACAGCACAAAAACCTTAATGAATAACAACACGAGTAAGGTCTTTGGCTTGTAACCGATTGGTTCGATTGTAGAGCACATAGAACGCACTTGAAACGTTCAAGAAGCATCATCATCCTCATGATCGTACAGCGAAATACAGTGACGTGAACTTCACTGATCGCTGCTAAACTCGCAGTACATATAAAGTTAGTGGCAATATGCCAGGTGGACACGGATTGAACCCTTGTTGAGGGAAGGAGGGGAGAAGGTCAACACACAAAGAGAACACAATCTGGCTGTGCATACAAACCGTTTCAAGCATTCTCTGGTCCGATAAAAAAAAAGCAAGATAACGAGAATTCGGAACAGAACAATACGTCTTAAAAAATAACCTCAAGACAGGTGCACATTTAATCGTACACTCTGAAACACAATGAACAGTACGGGAAAGAACAGTTAAAAAATCAACGATCAGAATGTACAACATTTAACAGAGAGTAGGTGCAGCAAGGTTATGCGGTAGGATAAAAACGATATAATGAATAGACACAAGATTACAAACAGTCGGTGAACAAAAGCCCCACTCTGAAAAGGTGAAACGATGTTTTCTATCACATAGATTGATATTCATTATGAGATCATCATAGACATCTTTCCTGACCTCAACACCACGTCTATCCTAGCACGGGTCGGATGTTGTTTGCTATCCCATGAATCAGACGCCGGTTACCAACTGTACATAGTACGATCACCAGTGAAGTGTAAATGTAGTGCATGGAGAGAGAGAAAAAACGGCTCACCCGTGCATCGGACCCGTTGATCCGTGTGGCCCAGTATGCACCGTACTCGTATGAACCACCCGTATCACTTTTCGGTTTCACCAACGGTCGAGCGAGTACGAGGAAGTGGTCGGGACTGAACGAGCCGGAGTCGGTCTCGAAATCGGGAAACGCCTGGTCCCCCGACGATCCGGGATGACCCGAACCAGATGCGGGCGCGGTGGCGGGAAGATCCAGGAGGCCGGTGTTCTTCCGGGCAGAATCACTGCCTCCATCAAAAGTCCACATTAGATGAATACGACCTTTCGACTGAAATGGGGACCAGATGAGGTGTAAACCTGAGCCAAATATCGATCAAATGGATCAGCTGATCAGAAAAAAATGCCGAGGAAAAACTGCGAGAATCAAACATATGGCTATATTAACATAATGAGCTTGGATTAGCCCATTCGATTGATAAGAGGCACCAGGCAATTTTGATGATCTTGGATGTGGGTATCATTCCTTGGGAGATCCGCACATGTTCATGTAGTACATGCGACGGAAATGTTTGTAATAACTGACAAACAGCACTAGACAGCTGTTTTGTCCGGTTTGAGACTCGTCAGCGATGCGTACTTTTTTCCCCTATCAGGACTCGAACTGCGAACCTTCAAACCCTTACCCCTGAGCTACACGGTCGACGATCGAGTCCTGACACGGGAACACAAAAAGTACGCACTGCTGACGAG